AAGGCTACATGACAGAAGGGTGGTCCAGGTGTTCTACCTAGACACAGCCTTACAGAAGAAGGCAATGTCTCCCTGGACAAGGATCACTCCGGTTCAGATACTGATAGTGGCTAAAGCCCCCAGAGACTGAATCATGTTAAAATTCAAAACCAACTCAGCAAATACTTATTTGAGGGCCTGCTGCTCTCCAAGGCTCTAGAATTTAGTTGTGATGACGGGAGCCATTGCCTCCCAAGGGCTCACTAATAATGGAGGGGAAACCAACATTCTATGGGTGGTGGTGCTTTCACCTTGGCACACCTGTTTACCCTTCTCCTGGTCAGAATAGCTGAAGCTCGACTCTCCATTGGCTGCCTTCACTGGAAGCAAACATCCTTCCATCTAAGAGCAATATAAAGATGGACACATGACCTAGCCAGGGCTATACATGAGCGTTCTGCTGATAGATATAGAATCTGTGGGGCTGAGGAGATTGCTCAGTGGTTAGAGTGGTTGTCACTCTTTCAGAGGACCCAGGTTTGTTTTTTAGGACCCACATAACCCATCTGGAACTCCAGTTTTAGGAGACCCATGACCTCTTTTGGCCTCCACAGACTCTAGACATGTACACATTGTACAAACATACTTGCAAACAAAACATTCATATACATATAACAACTAATTTAAAATTTTTATAGATATAAGGACTAGGGAGTTCTCATCAAAATTGCTACCAATAATTTCTTAGGTGGAGTTTTCTCTCATTTGTGTTGAGATCTACAGAGTGGCTGGGAAATCTCCCCACATTAAATCCACACGCACCCAGAAGCTTAGAATGTGATGAGCTTAGAAAAGAAGGTCTTTGCAGTTATAACTAGTCAATGTGGTCCATATATTAAGTAATCTAGGCTGGAGGTTAAGCCCTAAATCTGAGTATCCTTAGGAGAGAATACAGACGCAAAGATGCAGAGACCTCATAGAGAGAGGCAGAGTTTGGAGATATGTTTTCATAGCTGAGGAACCAAGAGCCACATAAAACTGGGAGAGATAAGGAAAGGTTTTCCTTAGGGCCTTCCATGAGCTTGAGAAAGGAGACCAGGAGGAGAACATAGAGACAAATTCAACTAGTCCAACACTAGGACTTCCTTCAGCAGGCACAGGGCATTTGATAGAAACTGAGAATACTTGTCCTAGATTATCCTTTAACTTGGTCCACAGTGACCTTCACCCTGCAGAATTTGCATTTTTTACACAACCAACTATAGCGATGTTTGTATGATTCATAGCTTTTACATTTTAAAAAACTTCCATTTCCTTTTGTTTTAATCTAGTACCCCACATTCTGGAAGGGAGACTCCTTCTCTGGTGTTGATCTGTCCTCTCCTCCTGTTACATTTCCTGACCTCCAGTGTCCCCCATCCTCCCAACAGCAACAGTAAAACCCAGTATCATCTCCAGCGCTTTCGGTCTGGAATCTTCTAGTAACTCTGCCCACGCCTCAGATGAGGAAGATATGACCCAGAGAAGTTGTATAAATTATCCCGTGAAGTATCTTATGACTCCTAAATGAAGGAGAGAGACTCGGTCATGTCCACTCATGCCAAAGTCAGAATCCTTCAGCAGCTTAGACGCCGTCACGCTTCTCGGGGTTCATCTTGTGGCTGAAATACTGCCATGCCAGATTCACTCTCCAAGTGAATGTATTTGAATCTCACAAGATACACAGCCGCCAATAATATTATTGCCCTGCTTTGTTAGTTTAAAGTATAACTTTATTAATAGCACAGGAGAAGCTATTATGAAAAATCTAATTCTGTCCCAAGGGTGAGAGTTCTGAGATGGTTGCAGCCCAGTGGCTCCTGGTTACCTTCTGTTCCCACTTCCTGCTCTCTGCAAGGTGGATGATGGCCTCCGGCATTCAGCTGGTTTTGTCCTCACCACAGGAAAGCTCAGAAGAGTTTGAACTTTGCCTCATCTAGACTCTCATTCCCATGGGAGAACCGAGCCTTGCTTTAACTCCGTGTAGACAATGGTGAGTCTTTTGCACGTATACAAGAAGAAATGTATAGCGCGTGGGTAATACACTAGAAACACATCTTCTCACAGTGCTGACGTCTGGGAATCTACGATCACGCATCAACAGACTACCTTTTTCTGGAGCCTCGCGTTGCCTTTGAAGGTGCCCATCTTCTTGTGTCTTCTTGTCAGTATGTGTAACTGAACGTAGTGGATTCGATTCTTGGTGAGCTCCAAACCAACACGGGTGGCCAGGGAGAGTAGAGACAGATTTATTACCTTGACCACTCCAAAGGCAGGCACATCCCTGAGGAGGATCAATTTAAGAGATGGATTATTGATCATGCTCAGCTTAGGGTTATAGTTCAAGAAGGCCACACCCTTGGGTATATAATGGTATGTGTCCCATAGTTAAAATGATGTGAGTGGAGAGATGGTGTGGCAGTAGGAGCGTCTTGGCTCTTCTGGTGGACCCGAGTTTGGTTCTCAGAACCCATACCAGGTGGCTTACAACTGTTGCATCTGTAACTTCTGCTCCAAGGGGAGTCAACTCTTTAGGCATGCATGCACATGTGCAACCCACCACACACACACACAAACACATAATTAAAAATAATGAAAACAAGGCCAGGCATAGTGGTGCATACCCCTTATCTTGGGAGGTAAAGGCACATTGAACTTTGTGAGCTCAAGGACAGCCTGGTCTACACTATGAATTCCAGGCCAGCTTGTGCACTCTCTGAACCTCTTTTGCTGTTGTTGTTTTGTCACCCCAGAACTGACATTACTGTCCCCCAGTGTCTACATCCACTTATGGACTCACTTAGAGTGCCCATGATCCTCTGACTCCATCCAACCTTCAGAGCGTGTTGTTATAAAAATATTGAAATACATGAAAAGGTTACAGCCAGGTGTGGTGGTACATGCCTGTGATCCCAGCACTGGGAAGGCAGAAGCAAGAGGAGCAGGAATCCAAGGCTGGCCTTAACGACTTAGCCAGTTGAGAGCAGGAATTGGAAATCCTCAGCCTCCACAACAGTGTGAGCTAGTTCTAGAGATTCAACCTCTTTCTCTGTAGACATACACCTTTTTTTTTTTTTTTAAGTTTTTTGAGACAGGCTGGCCTCGAACTCAGAAATCTGCCTGCCTCTGCCTCCCAAGTGCTGGGATTAAAGGCGTGCACCACCACTGCCCAACAACATACATCTTATTGGTTCTCTTTTCTGCAGAACCCAAACAATACAGAAGCCACGGGGCTCATTTCACACTCTGGTCTTGGTTGAGAAATTAAGGTGCTAAGATTAAGTTAAACTACTTGAGGCCAGAATGTTTCATACCCGGTGACATCAGGGAGACAATAATGTCTTGGAGTCCCTTCACAAATGATGCCACATTGGTCACCTGATCACAAATATTTACTCTTTAAAGCTCTGTTTCCCCCCAAGTGGAATTTTCCACTGAGGGAAATTTCCCAAATTCAACGTGGATGGAATTTTTGGCACCATGAAAATGTCCTTCCCTTCAGGTCCTTTCCCCCAGCAGCGCTGGTACTCACTAACAATGCTCGCCTGAGTCACTCTTCTCATCGGTTTCCCTCCCAGTAATTTAAACTTCTGAAAGCTCACTCTCCCCATAAGACAATAGCACATGACTAGCTAGCCATCTGAAACACATGCAACAAGAAGTCAAAGCCTTCATCCTCAGAAGACTTCCTGTGCCCTACAAGATCTAATGTTCCATCAGTAAGGAGGGATCAGGCCTGGGGACCTGGAGCTAAGAAAGTAGACTACTGGAGAGCATTTTTGGTGTCCATGGCTCTGTCACTGAAAGTGAAGAGCAGAATCATGAAAGATGCTCCAAGGGCACATCAAGGTTACGAGATCTCAGTGGTAGCAGGATCTGTGGGAAGAAGTCCCGAATGTAGCGCTCCTGTCAGACAGAGGTCAGCAGAGGGAGAAACCCTGTGGAATTCTAGAACTAGTCCTCTAGGAGATACCTCTGTTTTCCTCCAGAATACCTGTCAGAGTGTAAGGGTTCAAGATTTGCTGAAGAAGGATACCCCAGACTCAAATAGTATGTAAATGCAAAGAGTGTTTTATTCTGCAGAAGTCCAGCATGCTGGGGTCTGCCATTATCAAGATAGAAAGACAACCAAGTGAGCTTGCAGGCCTGATTTAAAGCACATTAAGGAATTCCAGGGTAGGTGACCTCTATGTTAATCTGTTGGGTCCACTACGGATAGTCCATTACCAGGGTGTGGGGGCTGGAAACTTGCTGGGGAGGTCTGGAAACTGCTGCTGGGGAAGTCTAGAAACTGCTGCTAACACACTGTCCTTGCCTCAGGCCAGTTGGCTGGACAGCTTCTGAGGCCTGGACTTGCCTGGATTTGCCCAGTTCTTAGAGACAGAGATTTGGGCCTAGTCTCCTTAACTGCCAATTTGAAGCCTGTCATGGAGTCAGCCTAGCCTTCTCAAGAGTGGAGTAGAGTAGGGACTTTGTAAGCAAGGTTTATTAGAAAAGTTAAAGAAGACCAAATAAAACAGAGGATAGATACCCTGTCCCCGGGGTCACCCCAGATTCCAACCTAGCGGACAGAAGATGGAAGGGCTTCTAGAAGCCAAGGAAGGTCAACAATTCACATACCAAGTAGGATAGACTTGGCAATCTGGAGGCAGAAGCAGGATTGCTATAACTTTAAGGCCAATATCTTCCGCATAGTAGTTACAAGCCATCTTAGGCTACAAAGCAAGACTCTGTCTCAAAATAACATAAGAAAGCCGGGTACAGTGGTATACCCCTATAATCCCAGAATTTGAGAGGCAGAGGCAGGATTGTTTCTAGTTCAAGGCTAACCTAGACTACAGAGTGAGACTTTGTCTCAAAAAAACAAGACAAACAAAAAAGAATGAATGGAGCCAGGCATGGTAGCACAGGCCTGTAATCCCAGCCCTTGACAGATGGAGGTAGATGTTCAGACGTTCAAGACCAGCCTTGGCTACATAGTGAGGTCAAGGCCAGCTAGGGATACGTGAGACTCTGTCTTGATGAGGATAATGATGGTAATGGTGGTGATGATGGTGATGGTGGTAGTTGTGATGATGATGGTGATGATAAGTTAGGGATGCAGCTTGGTTGGCAGAGTGCATCCTTAGAAATAGACCCTGAGTTCTATTTCCAGCACAGCACAAAACCAGTAGTAGTAGTAGTGCAAGCCTGTAATCGAGGCACTCAGGAGATGGAGGCAGGAGGATTAAAAGTTTAAGTAAACTCAAAGCCAGTCTAGGCTACATAAGACTCTGTGTCTCAACAAGCGAAAAGAACTAAAACAAACAAAAACCAAACCAAAAAACAAAACAGACAAACAAAAGAAAAACAAGGAAGGGTAAGGGAAATGATGGTTCCAACAGAACCATACACTGTATTCAGAAGGACGGAGGACAGTGAGCAGTTCTAGAAGGAGTTCCGTTAACACCTGGTATCCAGGAAAGCAAGTTTCTGTACGCAGGTCCCGGAGTGGGGCTGAGGCAGGCCTCCAAGGTGGGTTGGCAGTCCCCGACTTCCAGGACTGGGGCGGTTTTGTGGGAGCTTGGAGCCCCACAGGGCCCCAGGCTGGCGTTCAGGCTCCACGTGACTCCTGCCCCTTCCAGGGCTCTCTTCCGGTGGCTTCCCCTGTACCTTAGCTTTTGGGCACCTGGAAGAGATTAGGCTCTGGCAACCCTGAAGGGCCCTTTATGCATTTCCTCTTCTACAAGATTTGAAGGGGGAAAACAAATCGGAATGAGATCGGTTCTAGCACGTTCCCCCCAGAGATCCACGTAAAATCGACAGAGAAGAGCCCATTTATCACTATTCTGGGCTTTTCCTGTTTTGAGCCTGACCTGTTCTTGGCAGACTCCCCGCTCCTGTTTCATCACACGAAAGGCACCCCCCACCCCCCGACAGACTTTTAACCCTCTCTCCTCCCTCTCCCAACTGTTCCCTGCCCTGCTCCTGAGGGTAGAGACACAAGAATGGGGGGCACGGTCCTCTGCGACAGCTGAGGCAGGAGAGATGACCAAGCCACTTGCAGTCCCTCTTTCTACCCTGCCGCCTCTGCATTCTCACCCTTCTCTCTTTCCTTGGTGACATTTGGCGGAGGTGGTGCAGGGGGCGCAGCCACCTGCTACAGCCTCCCCGGTGTTTTCAGAGGCCTGGGCTGTGGGTTACAAAGAGCTGTCAGATCAAGTTCAAACGAAACACCTGGCCCAGCCTGACCTGCTCAGGAAATCAATAGAGGCACCGGCCATGAAATGAGAGCTGAATAATGACACTTCCTGGTTGCCCTGCAAAACCGGTGGGGGTGGTGACAAGCTCATTTCACTTCTGCATGATTAACTCATGATTATACTCTGACCACACAGCACGAATGGAATAGTGCCTCTCCCTGATCCCTAATCCCTAACGTGGCTGTATTTGGAAACAGGTCCTAGAAGGTAAAAATGAAAAGCCTGAGACTGCAGAGATGGCTCGGTTATTAAAATGCCTGTTTCTCTTTCAAAGGACCTGAGTTCGGGACTCCCAGCACCCACTCTGGGCAGCTTGCAGCTGTCTGTAACTCCAACTCCATAGGATCCCACACCCGCTCCTGGGCTCCTAGAACACCTGCGCAAACACATTAATTAATTAATTAATTAATTAATTAATTAATTAATTAATTAATTAATTAATAAAACCAGGACCTGGAGAGATGGCTCAGTGGTGTTAAGAGCATTTGCTGCTCTTGCAGGGAGCCTGAATTCAGTCCCCAGTGCCCACAGAGTGGCTTGCAACCATAAGTAACTCTATTTCCCGGGTAACTGATGACCTCTTCTGGTCTCCCAGGGCACCAGGTACTTAAAATACTCATATCCATGAAGATAAGTGTTTCTAAATGTTTAAGTAACAAATGAGCCAATGAACACCAAGTGAGGCCACACAGGCAGAGAGAGCCCCAGAGCCCTGAGTATACAGGACAGATCACTAGAAAGCTGTCTGTCCCACCTCCCACCATCAGCACCATGTGACACAGCAAAACTGCAGCTTTGTACAAGCCAGAAAGAGAGGGACCAAAAGCAAATGTCACCTTGATCTGGGGCTTCCAAGGCTTCAGAGCCACGAGAAGAAGCTGGGTGTGGTGGCTCATGCCTGGAAAAAGAGCACTTGGGGTTTTCTTTTTTGTTTTGTCGTAAAGAACTAAGAAGTAAGTGTGTTCAAGCCACCCAGACTGCTCAGGCTGCGGATCCGTGGCGGACAGACAGTCTGCGTACGCATCCTGTTGTTTCGAAAGCTCGCTTGTAATTAAGTGGTTCCAGTTAATTCCATGATCCTCCAGTCACCAATACAGGTGTGCCTCCCTGTAGGGACAGTTACAACCTAATAAAGAATGTCGTGGGCAGGGAATGCAGAGGACTTGCCTAGTGTGTGCAATGCCCTGGGTTCAATTCCCAGTACTTCGAAAGGACAGCAGGCATAGGTCAGGACGGCAAACAGCACCTCTCCCTGCTTTTCACAGACCAGCGTCAGCCTACAAGGTGAGCTGCCTAGCTGTGACATTCCCTTCCCTTGTCCACATGACAGGGAGCCCCAAGAACTAATGCAATGAAGTAGTTAAGAAGCAGGCATGAGGCCAGCAAGATGGCTCACCTGGTAAAAACAAGGATACTTGCTGCCAAGCCTGACAACCTAGGTTCAATCCCCAGCACCTACACTTGGTTCTTGGTGGAAGAACCAACACCTGGAAGTTGTTTTTGATCTCCACATGTTCCTGTGGCACATGCCCACAGCAACTACCTCCTCTGACATAAGTGAACAAATTCATGTAATAAAAATAAAATACTTTTAAAAGGAAGCATGGCAGTTGGGCATAGTGGTCACACCTCTGATTCCAGCACTTAGGAGATTCATGCAGGAGAATGTAGAGAGAATCTCTTGGGTACTGAATTACCTGTCAATAAAAGAGCTGCTGGCCTATTAGCATAGGCCGGATATAGGAAGTGAGAGTTCCAGCAGGGAGAGAGGATTCTGGGATAGAGTCAGGCACAGGAAGGAAGGAAGGAAGGAAGGAAGGAAGGAAGGAAGGAAGGAAGGAAGGAAGGAAGGGATGGATTTGCCCCCTACAATTGATGGAGCCGGTCATGTGAACCTGAGGAGACGTAACTGGCCACAAGGCAGGACTCAGAATAAATGGGATTACAGAGTTACTAGCTAGCAGGAATGAGCCAAAGCTTCTGGCCTATGCATTTATTCAGTCTCATTGCCATTATTTTGGGAACGTGGGCTTGGGTGGAAAAGCCTGAGATTACAGGAAGATCAGGAGTTCAAGGCCATCCTTGGCTACATAATAAATTTGAGTCTACCCTAGACAACACAAGACCCCGTCTCAAAAAACCAGAAACAAACAACCCCGTCCCCCAAATTAGGCATGGTAAGTCTGCTGGGTGGCCACCCTAGTAGTCATTCCCACTCTATTTCTTTTTACCAGACCTCTAACAGTATGTTGCAGCTTTTGAGTCTGGCCCTTATTTATCCTAGGCTGGGCTCTGTAGCCAGGGATACCTCTGAACCTCTTATGAGTCTCCTGCCTCTGCCTCCTAATCTCAGAGATTACAGGCATCAGATACCACACCAAATGTGTGTGATACTAGGGACAGAACCCAGGGCTTTGTAAATGCTAGGCAAGCACACAACCATCTGAGCTACAGACCACACTCACTGGGATGGCTTTTTGGTTTTGTGTTTTTTTAAAGCAGGGTCTCACTAAGTAGCCTTGGCTAACCTGGGACTCGATATGTAGACCAGGCTGGCCTTGAACATACAGAGATCCAACTGCTTCTGTCTTCCAGCTGCTGAGATTTAAGATGTGCACCACAATACCTGGCCATGCAAATATTTTTGACTGTGGTAAAAATTCACAGAGCAAAATTCACCCTAGTCAATCAAAAGCAAGCATTCTTTAGCATTTTGTACTTTCACAAGGTTGTGGGCAAACAACACCACTCTTCTCAGAACTCAGACCGTCGACTTTACTCAAAATGGCAATACCCCTGACAGCAAGACTCCATTTTTCAACTTCTCTTGCAGGTAGGTGTGGCTTCATGACCGGGGCTCCAGCTAGTGAATACAAGCAAAAACAAGGGGACGTATGAGAAACTGAGTTGAAGGAAGAGGCCACTCCTCTTGTCCTTCCTGTTTCCTTCGTTAATTGGAGGTGATGGCAGGGGCTCTGGCAACCATCATGGACTATGAAGGACACAGAAGTGAGACCAAAGTTAGCAAAGCAGTCAGATGGAGCCCTAGGTCCTTGATAACTTACGAATCCAGCTCTATATCACTTTTGAGAAAGAAACTATCTAAGCCATTCATATCTGGGAGCAGGGGATCTAATCTATGCAGCTGAATTCTACTCCAGCTTAATTAGGAGAGGTGACAACTTTGAAATGTGATTTCTCTAGGATTCCCTTAAATATCCAACTCCAGTGCTCATGGGGGTTTACTGTGGTCTCAATGTGTTCCCCCAAATGCAAGCTTCAGAAACAATCCCCAGCGCTGCATTTGGGAGGAAAGCGTGTTATTTTTTTTTAATCCCCCACATTTTACTAACACTTTTATGGTTTTAATTTTCACATTGTAATACTGTTCAGTCTGCATCTTGTTTCAGGTTAGACTGTAGTAAATAGGCCGGGTCTAGCCAGAAGCCCAAGGCCCTGAACTGAACAGTAAGCTTCCAAGTGTCTGCCATAAATTATAAACTAAATTCCTGCATATATTTGGGTCTGCTTTGGCCTTTAAATCTATCCATTGAGGTATCTATTCACACACAGCTAGAACCACAGTTTAAAAAAAAAACATGCAGAGACTAGGGGGCATAGAGTTTAGAGTCTGACCTGGAGGCCTCCCTCCTGAAGACGAGCGTTCAGAGTACTGGATGTGCTATCAAAGCTTCCAAGGAAGTAAAGCTGTCAATACACCTACCCAGCTGTGAAGCCTAGGAACCACAGTGGCCAGTCTGGCAAGGTATCTCCAAGGGTGCTATAGAGGCACCCATATCTTGGATTTCAAGCCCACTCTACAGGAGGAAATTCATGCCTGGCTCTGTGACTCTAGCTAGCCTATGGCTGAAGAGGTTATGGACCCAAGAGGAAACCTACTTCTACCACTTTCCAAATACTTATCCCATACCCACAGATAAGTATCACTCTTACTACTCATCAAAAAAGCTTTTTTCCCCCAACAACAGATGGAGACCATTACAGAAATCCCCACCTGGTCAAATGCAGAGGAGAACAGACTCTTGGGAGCCTAACCCCAATTAATGTATCGTCAACACAATCCTTACACCTACAGTTCAAGAAATATGACCAACAAGGGCTCCACATAAAGACTCTGTCTCAAAAACAAGGAGGAGGAGGAGGAGGAGGAGGAGGAGGAGGAGGAGGAGGAGGAGGAGGGAAGAGAGAAGGAGGTTTTGTTGAGTGTTAGGACTACAGGCACACTCTATACCTGGCTTATACATAACCTTAATGAAAAATAAGTCTTCCCTGAGCTCACTTCCAGGACCTACTTCCCAGGGGCAGCCAGTAGTATCTATGTTCCTATTTTCTCAATATTATAGTTCTGTTAACTAGCTTTTATTTATCATAATGCTTTCATTTATTTATTTATTTTTTTATTTATTCATGCTTTGGTTGCTTGAAACAGGGTCAGGCTATGCAGGTCAAGGTGACCTGGACCTCACTATGTAGATCAAGATGGCCTCTAGCTTGCAATGATCTTCCTGTCTCTGCCTCTTGAGTGCTGGGATTACAGGACTGCGCCCCCCCCCCCCCCCCGCAGGAGGCCCAACTGGCCAAACCAAAACAGAGCATCTCCTGCTGAAGCCACATGTCACCGAGGGAAATTGATTGTGTGACCTCCTCAGAAGTCAGGAGAGGGTGGGGGAGCAAAAGTCCAACCCCTAAACAAGCCAGGCCCAGCCAGGATTAGAAACTAGCTCTGCTTTAATCCTTACAAGAGAAGTGGTAATGTGCTTTGCTGTGCCTGTAAACCCTCTCTCTTCTCCTTGGCTTATCAGAGCACTGTTCTCTTCAGGGAATGAGGCGTTGCCTTGCTCTAGAATCATGGATAAAGGCCAACTAAGGTCTTTAAATTTGTTGTAATTTTGTCTCTTGATACCCATCAGACACCCTCAGTATCATTCCAACACAGCTTCGTCACACTCTGCGGAGGAAAACTCGTGTTATGCGAAGCCGAGCCAACTAGAGGGA